CACTATTTCCGCTCAGAAACAAGGCAGACTAATTATAGGAGGAGACTTCAACATTATCGGCAACCCACTCCTGGACTCTTCCTCTAGCAAACGCTCCTCCAAACAATCATTTAACGTCTTTCTACACAAAAATGACCTCTACGACATCTGGCGATGCCATCACAGTACGGAAATGACTACACCTACTACTCCCTCTCTCAGCTCTCCTACTCCAGAATTGACTTTTTCGTCACGGACAAGTGAACTTTACAACATGCCACATCCTCCGAAATTGGTACCATAACCTGGTCAGATCATGCTCCAATTTCCATCTCCTTAGATCACAATCAACACTCTTCAATATCCCAAATCTGGAGACTTAACACATTCTTATTGAAGAACCTGGACCACAAAAAACTCATATTGGACGCTCACAATCTGTTTTTTTTGACATAAATGACTCACCTGAAACATCGATATACACATTATGGTCCACAAATAAGGCGTACATGAGAGGTATCCTTATACAACTAAATTCCCGAATCTCAAACCAAGAAACCAACAAATCGACAACTCCTCCTCCTCCATTAAAACAAAAGAACAATTAAACTAAAAATCCCCCAGCTCTGCAACATCTGCCCAACTCACCACTGACAGAAACAAACTTAGAACCCTCCTGCTCTATAAATATGACCTCAACCTTCAAAAACCAAAAACTACATTCTACTCCCTTAGCAACAAAGCCAACTCCTTACTAATCAAAATAATTAAACGACGACGACTAAGAAATAAAATATCTTCAGTTTATCATCCATCCTCCCGATCCCTAACCACAAACCCGCAGGACATAGCTAGTGCCTTCGCGACCTATTACCAACAACTATACAACCTTAAAGACGACCCGAACCATTCAACCAACACCTACATCCATACAACAATTCCTCCACACAATTAAACTTCCTCAACTTTCCTCAACCCAACTTGACAATATATCAACTCCGATCACTCCCACTGAAATAGAATCCACCATTAAAACACTTCCTCTTAACAAGTCTCCAGGAAATGACGGTTATATAAACGAGTACTACAAACAATTTGCCTCTAACCTATCACCATATCTGACAAGACTCTTCAACCATGCGGCCACCACTGGCACATTCCCCAAAGACATGCTACAATCAACAATAACCACAATACCAAAGCCTGGTAAAGATCTGCAGTTTGTCCAAAATTATAGACCAATTTACCTACTTAACACAGACGTCAAACTCTATGCAAAAATTATAGCACGCAGACTACTCCCCTATCTCCCCACTTTGATACACCCAGACCAAGTAGGATTCATACCAGGCTGCCAGGCACCTGATGCTACTAGAAGACTCATATCCCTCATCCATCACTTAGAACACACCAAACAACCCTCATTGCTTTTATCACTGGACGCTGAAAAAGCATTTGACCGTATACACTAGTTATTCTTGCACATGACCTTTCAGAAATTTGGCATCACAGGTTGGATGTTAACAGCCATTTTAGCACTGTACTCCCTCCCATCAGCCAGAGTATTAACGGACGGAACACTATCAGACCCCTTTGATATTACCAATGGCACCAGACAAGGTTGCCCCCTATCTCCGGTCATATATTTACATTGCTTAGTGAACCCCTAACCTCTAAACTTCGAGACGACCCACTGTTCACTGGCATACGATACCTTAACACTGAGCACAAAATCCGCCTATTCGCAGACGGCATCATACTGATGATTACCAACCCAGCCAAATCCCTCCAAACAATACGTACCCATCTTCAAAAATATACGACGGTATCCTACTATAAACTAAACGAGCCCAAATCCTCAATTTTAAACCTCCACACACCATATCTCACTCAACTATCCCTTGCTAAACCATTTCCCTTCACTTGGGAAAAAAATAATATCCCATATTTAGGAATCAAACTCTCGGCCACAACAGACCAGCTATTTTCCTTGAACCACAAAAAATTACTTGAAACTATACTCCAAGTAATTGCCAACCTTCGTACCTCAGAAGTATCTAAATTTCTAAATTAGGCAGGGTGGCGACATTAAAAATGCTCATCCTACCGAAAATGCTCTATATTTTCCGCACACTCCCAATACCGGTCCCCAATACTTTCTTCTCCAAACTCCAATCGATATTCACCAGATTCCTATGGAATTCCAAAAAACCTAGATGTACCACCAATCTCTTAATAAAACCACCCTCCAAAGTAGGCACTGGACTTCCACACCTTAAATCCTACTATAATGCCACTCTCCTGGACCAAATATATTTTTGGTGGCACCCAACCAGAGAAAAGTCCTAGTCCACAATGGAAAACCTCACCTTTTTTTTCCCCACTTAAACCACACTATCTACTCTTAACTACAATATTCTCGCAAACGACCTATTACTTAAAGCACCCATGTATCCAAGCCACCCTTCAAGCTTGGAAAGATCTCTTATCCACAGATTACGCAGACTCCAAGCAACTCCAGACCCCACTCAACATATTACATTCCATTACACCCTCCCTAGATTAACCCAGTGGGAAAAACGAAACATACATCATATAGCAGATCTTTACAAAATCACATCCTGCTCTCATTTCATTATCTCCAAGCCACATTTAATCTCCCTGCCGCTGAATACTTCACCTACCTACGAATCACACACTGCATCGAAACAAACATACCCCATACCATAAGAATCCCGGCAACAGCCTACATTTATTTCTCCAGACCACATTACCAAAGTAAAGGCATCTCTACCTTCTACAAATCTTTAACGGACCTGCAATTTACTTTAAAATCTACCTCTTTATCCAATTGGGAAAAAACCTTAGCAGAAACCATTCCAACTCACACATGGACTACCACATTTAAATCCACCTACAAATCCTCTCACTGCAACTCACATTGGGAATCCTACTTGAAAATACTTTATCAGTGGTACCAAACTAGCCATTTTCTACCCAAATCATCCCCCTTCTTGCTGGCGACAATGCGGGGACATAGGCTCCACTCTTCACATACTATGGTCCTGCAAATCTATTAAATCTTTTGGGAATAGTAAATTCCGACTCATAACCGAAGTTTCCAAAATAACGACAACTCCTAATCTGGCACTTGCACTTTTACACATCGGGATTAACAATTTCCCTTGTACCTCCCGTACCATCATTGTCCACATACTTTTTGCAGCTAAACTAAATATAACCCGATTATGGAATACAACCTCAGCTCCTTCCCTTCAATCACTAATTTCAGATCTCAACTTCCAATGCGAAATGGAAAAAAGACTGTCCATCAATAACTCCACCCAACATAAGTTTAATTCCTTATGGTCTTACTGGTTACAAAACCCTAACTGCTCTGTAAACTCCTGATACCTTACAATCAATCGCTCTACTTATCCACGTCAGACTGGTGCTCCTTCCCTATTCTACAAGTTCTCCCCCTGTTTATTACCCCCTTACTACTCACTACTCCTCCTCCTCACAGTTCAGTCCACCCCTAGCATACCTCTGATGTCTATGCAGTAACTTTATTTCCAACCCTAGCCTAAAGGTGGGGTAACATCTTAATACAGATGTATTGTATGCTTACATTTATACTGAACCAAAAGTTTTCTCCCTGTTAAATTTTTGAAAAACTATCAAATTTTATTGAAATTAAAATTATAAATACAAATACATTCTAAAAATTGCAAATGAAGGTAATTATTGTTGCTCAGTGATTTGAAGAGCCTAAATGTCAAAATTGATGATCCCAATTGAAAGAAAGTATAACTAAAGGCAAAACTTTTTTTTTTTCTTTTTTTTTTTTCTTTTTTTCTAATTTTGGATAGAGGGAATATGGATTAGAATTGCTGTCTGTGCTCCCTGTTGTGAAGATTCACCCTCTGTTTGTCCTGTTAACCATTATCATTGAAAGTGAAAGTAAAAGAGACTCCAAATTTTGGATTTTGTCCCCAGAAAAGTAATAGAGGGGAAATCTTCCAATGTGAACACTAGTTCTGATGACCTGGGCGGCCACAAGGAATTCTCTTAATTTGCAGAGATTTTCTCTCCCTTCCTGTTTGGCTATAGGACAGGAAGTGAAGGGAAATCTCCCCAATGGGACACAAATGGCAAAAAATAAACTGACAGGGGTTATAACCCCTTACTCTATCCAAAATGAAAAAAAAGCCTATAGTAAGTCTTGATTTTTGGTCAAAAGTGTTTTCAAAGAATGACACTAGATGGCTCTGTTTCACTGTCCTCGAAGCTGAATGGCTGTATTCTGTTTCTATGAATGCTTCAGATTTCGGTGTCCATTTAATACTCGGTGTTGATGTCTGCTTCATCGCTGTTCATCTTTTCTATAACATCGCAGTAATATTTCACCATTGATGGAGAAGTATCAGCCTGCCTAAGTGGCTGAATTATCACAGTGATGTAACGAGATATGCAGCTTTGAAATATCACTGCCACATGGCGAGAAAAGACTGAGAGAAGAGCAGGGAGGCTTTACAAGGAGGCATGCAAATAATGAATATAAAAAAATGCACACATAAAGCAACATTTACATCTGAGAGGTTACATGAATTTTTGCAACAAAAAGTGTCAGGTTTTTTTGTTTTTTTTTTGGGAATGCTTTGGTGTTAACCTCTGCATCCATTAACATAGTTTTTTAGTTCCAAAGTGCAATGTGAAGCTGGCCAGCAGCAGGACATTTTTAATAGGATAAAAAGCCGAACTGGTGTATGGGTGTAACAGCCTGTAGCTTTCCATTCAAGCCAGATGACTGAAAACTAATCAAAAGTTTCTCATGGAAACACTAACCTTAAAGTAGAGCTGAAGGTAAAACCATGTTTTCCCATTTTGAGTAGCATGAAAGCATCTTAAAGCCTCTATCAGTAGCTGTGCCATGTGTTCCATGTGTTTCCTCCTGTTAATGTCAGTTAATCGTCATTTACTAACATTGAAACTAACGCTGTGAATTCTTGGCTTTACAGTGATGGTCGGTTGCTGCAGCCAGCTCAGGTCTGTGACATATTGAAGGGAGTGATACTAGTGATATGTTACTTCATGATGCACTATGTGGACTACTCCATGATGTACCACCTCATCAGAGGACAGTCCGTCATCAAGCTTTATATCATCTACAACATGCTTGAGGTAAGTGCTGGTCTATCATTCATTTCCATTCTGTGTGTCACGCTGGCCATACATTATACAATTTTCTTGTACAATTTTCCTTTACCCCAGTCATAGACTGTTCAAATCGACTGCCAGTTCAGTAAGGGCAGGCTGAAATTCGAACCATGTATGGCCAGGCAGATTGTACCCAAGTTGATCAATCGATCAACTTGGGTACAACTAGCCTGTTGGATTTTACGTTCGATTATTGCTAGTGTTTATTATAGCCTCTAGCAGTAATCAGTGTGTTCTCCCAACAGTGATGGCTTTCCCTACCAAGAGAACACAGTGGCTGTGCAGGAGGGATTCCCCCACCAACATGGACTGTGTTGATGGGGGGGAATCAAAGCGATTTTCTTTCCCACAACCCTTGGTTGCAGGAAAGAAAATCGCTCCATCTATGGCCTGCTTTAGATTTACCAAAACCATATAACATGACGTCAAACATAAACACTTTCCGTTTGTCTGCAGTCAGGCAGGCCTTTGCACTATATGGTTGAAAGTAAATCTAAAGGAAATTGAACAAGAATATTGTACAATGTATGGCCAGCTTTAGTGTGTAAAATATTGCTGTTTATCACTTCAAGCGTATCTTTAGCTGATGTGTTTATCTGTGTTCTCTGCAGCATTTTGTCAAGTACATATGTGTTTTATTTAATTTTGCCATGTAACTAAAATATATACACCACAGGGACACCCAGACTTGTTTTTTAGGTGTCAAAGACCTCATGAAATTTAAAAAAAAATCCTGCAGTCCTAGTTTGAGAGATCCATCTCATAAAGTAGGCATGGTGTGTTGGTTTAGGGCCCTGGCACATTCATTTATACATACCTGTAGAGGTTGGCACACAGATGATTTGAAAGAGGACAATTGCTGGTCATTCCTAGCACCCTCTTAGATTTCTAGGTGTGAATACAGTGTATTAACTTGAATATTTCGGTGCACATTGTGACATGTTGAAACATACCTAAAGTTTAAGCTCATTCTTAGTTTTTTTTTTTTGTTTGTTTTTTTTTTTTTAAGTGAAGATACAACCAAAAAGAGGCAGCATGCTCTTGTATCATGATGCAGCTCTGATGCAGTTACTTGAACAGTGGCAGTAGAAGTGGTGTCTCTGTTAAAGGGCAGGATCTGTGTAGGCAAAGCTATTGATCAGCTAGTTTTGTTGAGTGTCCTTTGATAATGGCCTCGTATCCTACCATTACCGCTATGTTTGGGTGCCAACTAATCGTTCTCTCAGAGCTGCTGATATTAAGTGCTGTTGCTCCTGCCACAGTCACCTAGATTGGATACAGCCTATTGTGGCAGTACAAAGAGTCAAAGGATGATGCAGATGACAGTTCGGGTCAGTGGTGAGTAGTGAGAAGTTTTGGTCACTCTAATCTATGATCAGTCTCAGGTATTTTTAGGTCCCATTCTATTTAAGCTCGAAAGAGCAGGGCCCTCGATCCCCTCATGTTTTGCATTGTATTGTTATTGTTCTGTCCCCCATTGTAATGTACAGCGCTGAGCGAACTATTGGCGCTTTATAAATACTGTATAATAATAATTTAGACTTTAAAGTGGAACTAAACTCTCTCAATTAACATTACCTATTTTTAATCCTTGTGCTGCTAGCTTGTAAATAGATTGGAAGGTATATTATATCTACTTGTATACTTTTTTTTTTTTTTTTTATACATTTCTTCAGTTGCTTCCTGAAGGCCAAAATGATGTCATACATTCCAGAAGTCTTCATAGGCATTTTAATTTATTTCATCTGGAAGAGGAGAGGAGGGGCATTCTTAGCTAATCACACCCTCCTGCCTTCATGCCAGATAAGGGAAGATGGATTCTAGGAAGTAAATGCTACATGAATACTCTGCCCTTACACATGATGGCTGTGGCTAAAAAGTGTTTTCTAAACAAAGCATGGAGACATGGATGGGTGGTGGAATTGAATATGGGTGTAAGTTGTAACAGTTATGAAATATGATCCTTTACAGGACAAGTTCACCTTTAGGAACATGTTACATGTTCCACTTTATTTTTAGGGTGGAACATGTAGCATGTTCCCACTCCTGCAGCTCTCCCCCCAATTACCCCCCCTTACTGAAGGCTGGGGATCTTTTTATATAAATGCACATTTTTAAAAAAAAATTTATTTTTACCTGCAAATCATTGTGCATTTATTATTTTTAAAAAAAAAGGTGAACTTATCCTTTGGTAACCCGCACCAAAAAAGTAAAGAAAAATGGGGTCCGCGGGCGGGTTAAATCATAATGTGCTTGTATGCACCGCATATTTGCACATTATGACAGACTTCCCTGAAAACTAAGCCCTTCAACGGTGAACTATCACAGGTCCTGGTGCTTTCATCTTCATCCAGTCTTCCTTCCTGGGTTTGCGGGCTTCGGCTGTATGAATGGCTGAGCCGCATTGACGTCACAGCCGTGGCACAGAGTTCTGAATGGATGACACAGTCCATTCAGAGCCCAGTGCGCATGCATCAGTGATGTCACTGGCTGCTGCTAAAGTAAATAGAAGAGATATTTACTGTACCTATAGGTAAAAATCAACATTGTGACTTTACTACAACTTTAAGAGAAATAAGTAGGTTGCAATTGCTGGCCTTTTCCTTTTGGAAATACTAGTTTTCCTGTCTGCTATGCTCGAAGTCTTAGTCACTGCCTGAAACAAGCATGCAGCCACTGAAGTCAAAACGCCTGGTATATATATTGTATAGAATTACTCCAGGATCAATTAGAGAGTTCTTAACAAAATCCACTGGATCAGCTGGGCAGCCAAGCAAGCAGTATTTCAGATTGATAGCTCACACATTTTACATGTCAGGTTTTCTTTAAAGAGGGGAAATTTTAATGCTGGAGCCTGAGATTCTAAAAACAATTTTAACTAGTTAGTCACTTGTATGTATACTTTGTTAGTCTTCATAGGTACACGTCCTTATCAGTGTTCCCAGATGGTACTCTGTCTTTATTCCAGGTTGCAGATCGCCTCTTTTCATCTTTTGGACAAGATATTTTGGATGCTTTGTACTGGACAGCTACTGAGCACAAAGAGAGGAAGCGAGCTCATCTTGGTGTCATCCCTCATTTCTTCATGGCTGTGTTGTATGTCTGTATCCTTTCATTTCTGCAGTCACACATTTAAAGGAATGTTACTTTGATTAACTTTGGTTGTTTTGTAGTGCATTAACAGACTATATTCTTTTTCTATTTGATATATAAATGCAGTTTTTGTCACATTCAGGAAATAGCTATTCACTAAGCCCTGTTCACACCAATGCGATTTGTCATGCAGTTTTGACAGTTTGGACCCTATTTTTGCCTATGGAACCGTTCAAATCTGTGCGACTCTGACTTTGAAAAAGGTTCCCGCATTATTTTTGGCAATTTTCATGTGCGACTTGCAAGCCGCTGTATGTTTTGTGTGTGTGTGTGTATGTAGTGTGTGTGTGTGTGTGTGTGTGTGTGGTATGTATATATATATATATATATATATATATATATATATATATATATATAGTTCAGTATATATTAGCCAAGTGCATTTAATCTTTTCAGCATTTTAAGGGATAGGGTCACCTTTTAAAAAAAAAAAAAAAAAAAGAATTTTTTTTACAGGTAAAAAAATGTGCATTTATTTTGGTCTGCAGGAGCCTGGAAAGCATTGCACCAGCGATCAGCAGATCTACTGACAGGAAGAATGAATGAACTAACAGAGCTTCACAGCGCTGTGGTAGTTCATTGAGGACTACAAGTTGGCAACCGTTAAGGCTGTCGGGACTTGTAGTCTCTCATTCACAGATGACTGTGAATAAGTGATGTGGCATATGGGCAGAGCCTGGCACGGCTGCAGGTTTTTACATTTGACAGCTAGCGAGAAGATCCCCGCTAGCTGTCAAAGCAGGGATCAGGGAGGGGGATCGGGGGCCAGTCTGATCATAAAATATTACACCTTGAATATGGGTTTAACATGTTGCGAAAGGTGAACTTCAACACCTGTCACGTATAAATCCACTTTTTTTTGCCTACTTTTTTTTTTATATATATATATATATATATATATATATATTATATATATATATATATATATATATATATAGTATATATATATATATAATATATATATATATAAAATATATATATAAATATATATATACTATATATAGCTATAAACCATCACTGACAAGAATTTTCCTTTGCAGAGTTAGCACAGGAAACAGCACTTAGGTGTTTAAGTTTTCCTTGACATTATTGCTGTGTAATCTGTGTGGATACTTTCCTTAACCTTTTCATTCATAGTTTTACATGCAATCCTAATACTAGTGCAAGCCACGACTCTCAATGTGGCCTTCAACTCTCACAACAAGTCCTTGCTGACCATTATGATGTCCAACAATGTAAGTGTTTTGAGTGAGGTGGATGCTGAAGCTGTGTTTACAGTGGAACTTTACAGTATAACTAGAGGCAATTTTCTTTTTTTTTAATTTTTGGTAGAGTTCAGGGGGATTTGAACATCGGTCAGGTTTTTTTTTTTATACTGTCCTTGTCCCCTGCTGGGGAGATTCACCCTCACTGTTTGTTATGTTTACCGTTAACAGTGAAAGACAATCCAAAATTTTGGGTTGCCCCCAGAAATGGTAATAGAGGGAAAAGCTGCCAATGGGTACTTTAGTTCTGGTGACAACAAGAGATTCCCTCACTTTGGAGATATTTCCTCTCACTTCCTGTTTTGGCTATCAGACAGGAAGTTAAGAGAAATCTCTCCAATAAAATACAGATGGCAAAAAAAAAAAAAAATACTGATGGGAGTTATATCCCTCCCTTTCTGTATTCAAAATTAAAACAAAGTTTTGCCTTTAGTTCTACTTTGACTATAACAGTGTAAAATTATATAGTATTTTCTATAAGGAATATACAGTTGTGTTCAAAATAATAGCAGTCAGACATCACTAACCTGATCAATCACTGTTTTTGGTAGAAATGATATTTCTACATGGCAAATAATTTACTAGCAGGTGTAGTAAAGTAATAGAAATCCAACAGACCCAACAGTCATGACATGCATGCTGCTGATTCTGTGTAATTGAATCACTAATTGAAAGGGACATGTTCAAAATAATAGCAGTGTGGAGTTCTATTAGTGAGGTCATTCATTCTTTGAAAAACAGGTGGCAAGTATTGCCCTTATTTAAGGAAGGAAGGCAGCAAGTGTTGTACATACTGGTTACAGTGCATTTCTCTCTGAAATTCTGAGGAAAATGGGTCGTTCCAGACATCGTTCAGAAGAACAGCGTACCTTGATTAAAAAACTTATTAGAGAGGGGAAAACGTATAAAGAAGTGCAGAAAATGATAGGCTGCTCAGCTAAAATGATCGCAAATGCTTTAAAATGGCAACCAAAACCTGAAAGACGTGGAAGAAAGCGAAAAACTACCATTCAAATGGATAGAAGAATAGCCAAAATGGCAAGGACTCAGCCAACAATCAGCTCCAGGAAGATCAAAGAAGGTGTAAAGTTCCTGTGAGTACTGTTACAATTAGAAGACGCCTATGTGAAGCCAAGCTATCTGCAAGAAGCCCCCGCAAAGTCTCACTGTTGAAAAAAAGACGTGCTGAAGAGGTTACAGTTTACAAAAGAGCACATTGACTGGCCTAAAGAGAAATGGCGCAACATTTGTGGACTGATGAAAGTAAGATTGTTCTTTTTGGGTCTAGTGGCCGGAGACAGTTTGTCAGACAACCCCCAAACACTGAATTCAAGCCACAGTACACTGTGAAGACAGTGAAGCATGGTTGTGCAAGCATCATGATATGGGGATGTTTCTCATACTACGGTGTTGGGCCTATTTATCGCATACCAGGGATCATGGATCAGTTTGAATACATCAGAATACTTGAAGAGGTCATGCTGCCTTATGCTGAAGAGGAAATGCCCTTGAAATGGGTGTTCCAACAAGACAACGACCCCAAACACACCAGTAAACGTGCAACATTTTGGTTCCAGACCAACAAGATTGACGTTATGGAGTGGCCAGCCCAATCCCCGGATCTTAATCCAATAGAAAACTTGTGGGGTGACATCAAAAATGCAGTTTCTGAGGCAAAACCAAGAAATAGAGAAGAACTGTGGAATGTAGTCCAATCATCCTGGGCTGGAATACCTGTTCACAGGTGCCAGAAGTTGGTTGACTCCATGCAACACAGATGTACAGCAGTTCTCAGAAACAGTGCTTATACAACTAAATATTCATTAAGTGATTCAAAGGAAAGCAAAATCTTCAAACCATTTTTCAGTTTATATAGTGAATGTTTGAGTTTGTAAAGAAGAATACAAACACTGCTATTTTTTTTGAACAGTCTAATATTCACTTTTCTTCAATTTTTTTAGAGGAACAACACAAATTTGATATATTTTTCTTCATGTTTTGATTTGGAATAGAATGTGTAGAGTTCCCAATGCATTTGTGTGTATGGAAATAAAAGCTATTAGGATTTTGAGCTTTATTCACTTTTTTCAACACACTGCTATTATTTTGAACACAACTGTGCATGCCTCATTAAAAATCATACTTGCCAACTTTGAATAGTTATTGGTTTCAGCACTGCTCTGTTTCTTATTGGCTGGATCCTCCATATTGCCAAACATCAGGGAGAGCAGTCATTTTGTTTTTTGATAGGTTTCTGTACCTCTTCACATCTTTGTATACATTATTCTTTAGTATGAACTGTGGTTGTGTATGTCTGCTGTTCAAGAGTGGGAACCTGTAAGTTGCTGCACATTCCTGGGATGCTAAGTTATTCAGACCAGATGCACACAGCTTCTGAGGCAGAAGGCACCCGGCGATCTCTGAGGATTTCTGATGGGGGGAGAGACCTGTATGTAAACAATACAGATCTATCCCCTGTCAGCTCCAGCATGTTGCTTTGTATGGCTCTGCATAGCAGAGCCATACAAAACACTGTGCTTACAGTGAAACACAGCACACATCCGCATCGTAAAACAGCACACAGTTAACCTTTTGATCACCCCACATGTTAACTCCTTCCTTCCCAGTGTCATTAGTACAGTGTCAGTGATTTTTATTAGCACTGATCACTGTATTGGTGTCACTGGGGATGACCGTGACACCAAGTATCCCCACCCCCCCAAGTAAGAATGCCCTCCGCAGTCCTATAAGTCACTGCTGGCCGCCATTGGTAAAAAAAAAAATTCCGCTATATATACCGCCATTTGTACACGCTATAACTTTCACGTAAACCAATTAATTTACACGCATTGGGATTTTTTTTAGCAAAGACATGGAGCAGAATGCACTTTAGCCTACATTAAGGATGAAATTGGATTTTAAAATTTTTTTTTTTTTTTTTTTTTTTTTTTTTTACTGGACATGTTTTATAGCAGAAAGTCAAAAATAGTTATTTGTCAAATTGTCAGTCTTCTTTTGTTTTTATTAAGCAAAAAATAGAAAACACACAAGCAATCAATTACCATTGAAAGACAGCTCTATTTGTGGGAAGAAAAGGGCGTAAATGTCATTTTGGTGCAGCATTGCATGACCGTGCAATTGTCAGTTAAAGTAATGCAGTGCCATATCGCAAAAAATGGCCTGGTCAGGAAAGGGGTAAATCCTCTGGAGGGCAAGTGGTTAAAGTGAAAGTCCATCCTCACCTTTTTCCGTCCCATCAGTTTCTACCCCTGGTGCTTGGTGAACTCAGATTTTTTTATTCCAGGGCTTTGCAGCATGCACACTTTGTCTGCAGACCCCCAACCTCACAAGAACGATGGACCGTCTTAGACATGCCTTTGGGCCATCAGTCACTGCTGCTGCAATTTGATGGTGCACACAACTTCCACAGAGCCAGTTTCATCTGGATGAAAAAAGACTGCCAGGTTGGAGGTATAAAAATATAGACTGCTGCAAACTAGAATTCAACTTCAGCTCCTGGTTCTACTTCTCTCTTGGCAGCAGTGTATCCTGTCATCCCTCCTACTTTACTTTTATCCCCGCATATCTGACCATTTGTGCTAGTGTCTGCCTTGTTCCTCCACTCACTTGGCAGCTGTTTGACTGTCATCAGTAGACCTGGCTCTTATGGGAATTCCTCACTGATCTGCTGAAAACAAATTCTCGGTGCAGTGAGGCAAACAAGAGAGAACTGAGGCTGTGCAGAGGAGCCTGAAAACTGTAAGTAATACTTAAAGGCAAATTTGTCTATTACATTTTGCATTAAATGTTACAGGACAAAACAAAAGGAATAATAACATGCAGTCAGGTCCATAAATATTGGGACATCGACACAATTCTAACATTTTTTGGCTCTATACACCACCACCACAATGGATTTGAAATTAATCTAACTGCAGACTGTTAGCTTTAATTTGAGGGTATTTACATCCAAATCAGGTGAACGATGTAGGAATTACAACAGTTTGCATTTGTGCCACCCACTTGTTAAGGACCAAAAGTAATGGGACAGAATAATAATCATAAATCAAACTTTCACTTTTTAATACTTGGTTGCAAATCCTTTGCAGTCAATTACAGCCTGAAGTCTGGAACGCATAGACATCACCAGACGCTGGGTTTCATTCCTGGTGATGCTCTGCCAGGCCTCAACTGCAACTGTCTTCAGTTCCTGCTTGTTCTTGGGGCATTTTCCCTTCAGTTTTGTCTTCAGCAAGTGAAATGCATGCTCAATCGGATTCAGGTCAGGTGATTGACTTGGCCATTGCATAACATTCCACTTCTTTCCCTTAAAAACTCTTTGGTTGCTTTTGCAGTATGCTTTGGGTCATTGTCCATCTGCACTGTGAAGCAGCGTCCAATGAGTTTCTGAAGCATTTGGCTGAATACGAGCAGATAATATTGCCCGAAACACTTCAGAATTCATCCTGCTGCTTTTGTCAGCAGTCACATCATCAATAAATACAAGAGAACCAGTTCCATTGGCAGCCATACATGCCCACGCCATGACACTACCACCCACCATGCTTCACTGATGAGGTGGTATGCTTAGGATCATGAGCAGTTCCTTTCCTTCTCCATACTCTTCTCTTCCCATCACTCTGGTACAAGTTGATCTTGGTCTCATCTGTCCATAGGATGTTTGTTCCAGAACTGTGAAGGCTTTTTTTTAGATGTCGTTTGGAAAACTCTAATCTGGCCTTCCTGTTTTTGAGGCTCACCAACGGTTTTACATCTTGTGGTGAAACCTCTGTAATCACTCTGGTGAAGTCTTCTCTTGATTGTTGACTTTGACACACATACACCTACCTCCTGGAGAGTGTTCTTGATCTGGCCAACTGTTGTGAAGGGTGTTTTCTTCACCAGGGAAAGCATTCTTCGGTCATCCACCACAGTTGTTTTTCCGTGGTCTTCCGGGTCTTTTGGTGTTG